TTTTTTTCGCTCACAAAACAAATTGTTTTAATGCAGTTTTTCGCCAAGTGTAGCGAAGAGTAGGGGGTGAATAGATAAGCTCTGCAAATAATAAAAAAAAAAACGAACTTCTCTCCCGCTCTCCCGCTCTCTGTCTCTCTCTACCTATCTAACTGCACCACAATCGCAACCAGCAACTTGTGGAATGCAATGAAAATAGAACACAAGAAGCACACTCACACCCGCTCACGCGACCCAACACATCCGTAGAGCATTCATTGCACACAGACAGACACAGACTGTGCATGTGTTCACGTGTTTGTCGGCGTCCGCCAGCAAGAGACAGAAATAAAGTTGCAATAAAAAGCAACTCAGGCCGCGTCAAAAGCAGATTTCAGAGTTTTTCATTCATAAAAGTTATACAAAACAAAAACACAACAACAAAAAAGGAAGAAAAAAGAAAGAAAGCAAAGTGAAACACACACGCACCAAGAGAGCGAGCGCAGCATTAAAGGCCGATGCGTGTGTTTGTGAGTGCATTGAGTCGGGCTTTTTTCTTCTATATGTGCGAAAGAGATAAATGCAGAGAGCAGAGAAAAAGAACACGCAACGGCGCCCCGTTGCTGACTGCGGCGCTGCGCCTGTATTGGTTGTCTTAAGAGGGCACCCCTCGTGAAGCAGTCAGCGGGCTATTCACCGGTGAATTACTAGCCGGCCGGTGGCTACACCTGATTACTTTCACTACGCGGATTCACGGCCATTCACCGAAGAGCTGCTAGTGGGAGGAGCTGATGCTTCCACTAGAATTCATGTCTTCCAGAATGGACCTGTGCATACATTCGATGTTAACTACTTATTTGGATCTTTCCGTTTAATTGAAGAAAAAAACATATATTGTATCGAAAATAGGCTTTTACTCCCCTCATAAGAAATGGTTTGATTTAGACCAGGGGTCGGCAGGCAAAACGGAACAATTTATTGGATCCAACCCCTGTTCTACACGTGTACGTGAGCGGCACATATGTATGATGGGTGCTTGCCAAATCATTGATAATTATGTAAAGACCCGTAGTTACATAAATGTGTGATATCTCGATTAGATTGGTTGGTTCCACCATCTCGAAAAATCAAATTCTGATCTGTACTTAATGATATTTAATATTTCATTTAAAGTACCAGCTTAAACAATTTTGAAGCATTTTAGAAAGATTCTCAGAATAAATTCGCTCTTTGCATCGAGTGTGCCTGTCACTTGACGCAATATCTCTTCAGTATTTCATTGTAAAAATACCAAAATCACTCAAAGCGAATGGTATCTGGTCGTGTCATTTGTATCGAAGTGACATCAACTGACAGCAAATACAGCAAAACGTCATTCATTGTTTAATACACGTCAATCGAAAAATGTATCTAATGTGGAAGGGGGTGATTTTCCTAGGGGAACCACCCATGACTACTTCTGAATGAATTCTGCCACTAGCGGGGAGCTGTGGCTGGTTACTTTTAGACCATGTAAAGTAGTATTACCGTTAACTGGTAAGCAGAGACGTGTCTCGCCCTGCACTGATAACGGAAGAATAGCAAAAAAGCCCTCATAGGTCATTTACTTAGTCACATGTCGAAAAAGAATGGAAAAGAACGCAGGAAAGGTGAAATGCAACAGAGACACTGTAATGACTGCCGCCGCTGCTGCTGCTGCTGGGAGAAATAAAGAAAGCCAATGGAGCATTCTCATTGGATATGCACTGCGGTCGCTGCTCTGCCAGCGTCAGCGTCAACGAACTGCAACATGACATTTGCATGCATATTCAGGCAGAGGCTGGGGCGCTGCGGCTGCGGCTTCGGCTGGGGCTGGGGCTGGGGCTGCAGCCCTCAAATGCAGACGTGTGACGCATGCTCAGCAGTTACAGTTATGTACATACATCTCAATACATATGTATGTGTATGTGGCTGGGGGCAGCCAGGCCACCAGAATCCAGGCCACTGGATGAAACGGGCGGGATCAGATTCCAGCGAAGAGAGCTGCAACACCAAACAAAATAGCAAACGCTGGCAGAATTCGCCTGGAATTCCGGGGAAAAAAAGCTGAAATATCTATAGAGCCTGATCCGGAGCGCGTGCATAGCCGCCGGCTAAGAAATGCGGCGCAGAAGGAAAGAAACAAACGGCAATGACGGCATGAGAGCGAAAAAATGGGATCGATGGTCAACCGTTTGTCAGGGAGGGGGCAAAGTACGGTGTAATGGTAAAATGCGATTGGAATGCTGGAAGGAATGCGCTGCAGATAATTTTTTGCCCTCTTTTTCTCGCTCACGTTGCCGGTTGTCTATTGTATAGTTTGAGAGAGAAAGTTTGAGAGCTTTTCAGTTTAAGGAAGCCATCATACAGTTGGACAAGTACTGAACAGTTTGGCAATACATAATATACAATATGGTATATATGTACATACATATGGATATCATTCACAAGAAACAGAAACTGAAATTTAAATTAAAGAACAAAAGGAAAATGAGCAAAAAAAATCGACTTCTCTCCTCCTTCCTGTCTGCTGCTTCTCTTCACATTTGATCTCTCTCTCTCTCTGTCTCTCGCTCTTCTTTGCAACTTTATGTTGTTGGCGGCGACGACGAGACTTCGGTCGTCGTCGGTCGGTCGTCGGCCGTCGGGCGACTGGAGTGAAATTACTTCCAAGAAAAATAAACACGATATTAAATGTGCAACATTCCAGGCGTCGTTTTTGCCATTGCATTGCCCTCTTTCATTCTCATTCCTCATGCCCATACATACGCTTCGTTGATGGTGGCTTTCTGCAGGGCAAGATGCCGAGGAAGAAGAACGTTAGAACATCAGTAGCTAGAGGAAAATATACAAAAAATAGGTCGAATATTTATATATAAGGTGAGGCATTCAAGTCCCATTCTCCCTCCAACGATAGCCAATTGGGAGAGTGCCTTACCCTATATCCATACGCCTTGAGCCCAAGGTTTGTTGCAAAACAGAGCGCGAGCAGCAACTAGACAGAAGAAGAAGAAGGAGGCAAAAAAAAAATAGCAGGCTGAGGCGCCGGCGCAGCAGCACAAAAGCGGCGCCATTGTCGCCGTTCTGCGTTGAGTTTGTGACCGGATTCCCAGATTTTTGTTTGCTTCAGTTCATTTAATTTCGAACACTCGGCGTGCTCTCTCAATTTTTTGTGATTAATTGTGGTTTTCTTTTGATAATGGAAGGCTTTTCCATGACGATATGGAATGAGGATTCGATTTCTTATTGTATCTATACATTTTACATTAACAATCAAGCTGTTCAATATTCGACGGTGTTGGCGAAGCACAGGTAACGGTTGCTGTTGGGTGTATCGGAAGGGCGCCCCCACATCTCTCACATCCTCTTTATATGTAGTTTGCATAAGTATTGGAAGTCTCTTTTTAACACCAAGATCCTTTCCCATTTATCCCACATGTGTACATACATACATACATATATTTGTAAGCAACTAACTCACGTGTTCGTTCACGGCTTGTAAAATGTGCTTAGATTTTGTACGTTTTTTAGGCTTGCACACACACACACGTATACACTCACATACACACACACACAACTAACACAACACACACGCCCTCTGTCGGGCCTTTTTTGGCGCCTCCTTGTGGTAAAAAGTTTGCCGGCTAATGTATGTGTGTGTGTGTGTGTGTTTGTATTGATGCTCTCATTCTTTGCCTTTGCGCGTGCGCTCTATTTAGAACAACCCTGGCCTGCGTGAGCCGTTATTTAGTACAGCAACTATTGACTGCGCGTTTTAGTACATCTACCGTTACTGCGGGTATTAGTTTTTAGTGCTCCTATTCCCTGGCTGTCCTGCGCGCGCGCGTGTGTGTTCTCTTTAGTGCAACATAACCTGACTTTTTGTGTAAGTGGATCGCGATTCCCTTAGTACAGACTTGCACACAGACACACATCCATACGTACCCCTATAGGAACGCTAAATTCTAGATGCTACTTGCGATGTTACATCTCTGGCTTTATCTCTCTCTCTCTCTCTCTCTCTCTTGCTGATTAGCTCTCTGTTCTGTCTGTCTGCCTGTCTGTCGCCCCCTTTTAATGCGACGTGTTTTCGCTGTGACGCTGCTCTATTTATTGCATTATCCGTTATCCTTTTGTGGCATTTCTTTTTCTTCATTCTCCCCCCCTCCCCCTTTTCCACATTCCCTGCCATTTCTCTACTTATCTTATCCATGTCCTACCCTTTCGCATCTTTCCTTTTTTTGCGTTTTGTGTTGTTTTTTTTCTTCTATGTGTTTTCGGTTTACTACTGTTTCTACTACTACTACTACTACAACTACTACAATTACTACTATTTTTTTGTTTTCGTTTTTCTATCTTTTTTTTTTGTTTTGTTTTCACCGTGTGTGTGTTTTTTTCACGCCATTTTCTTCGCAGTGTTACGACATCAAAACTCTTAATAAGCGGCATACCGATGCAAACACGTTTCGAAGACATCGAACCGCTACTGAAGCCCTTCGGCATCGTGAAACAATGCGAGGCTATTTCTAGTAAGGACCAATCTACTCAAACAGTACATATTACATTCGAAAACCCTGAGCAGGCGCAAAGGTATATACCCCCAATACAAAAACAAAATCAAAACCATCTACCCAATCGACCCAATTGACCGCCCCACCACCCCCAACCCCCAACAGATCCTGGCTTAACATCCGGGATTGTCATTGAGAAAAATCCAATACGATATATGATCCCATTTGGTTTCGAGATTATATAGCAGCAATCTCTGTGTTAATCTCGGTGTTAAGCATGGATATATTTCTTAGAACAAAGAGAGAGAGAGAGAGAGAGCTGGGGCTTGGACTTTGTGTGTGTGTGTGTGTGTGTGGGGGATTGGCATCCTCTTTCCGTTGTTCAATGTTTAGGAAATCAAAACACCCCCGATCTCAACATCTCCACTCTATAAAATCCCCCTCTAATGGATACATATGTATGTCATATCGACATACCCTTCCCATCCACAGAGCTGCTGGCGGCCTCAACGGAGTCGAATTCGAGGGCAACAAGCTCCATTGCGAGCAGCTGGATAAAAACCAGCGTCGCAGTCAGCGCAATCAGCGCAATACGTACCCGGGTATGCCGGGACCCGGGCGCCAGGCTGACTTCCCGCTGCGCATTCTCGTCCAGAGCGAAATGGTTGGGGCCATTATAGGACGACAGGGCAGCACGATCAGGACAATCACACAGCAGAGTCGGGCCCGTGTGGATGTGCATCGCAAGGAGAATGTCGGCTCCCTGGAGAAGTCGATCACGATCTATGGCAATCCGGAGAACTGCACCAATGCCTGCAAGCGCATTCTGGAGGTCATGCAGCAGGAGGCCCTCTCCACGAATAAGGGGTGAGCACTAATCACTGAAACACATACGTCAGATCCCCCTTCATACCATTTCTATGCACTCCATCCATCTCCACAGTGAAATCTGCCTGAAGATACTGGCCCACAACAATCTGATTGGAAGGATCATTGGAAAGTCTGGGAACACCATCAAACGGATCATGCAGGACACCGACACGAAGATCACCGTCAGCTCGATCAATGACATCAACAGCTTCAATCTGGAGCGCATTATCACGGTGAAGGGTTTGATCGAGAATATGTCGCGGGCCGAGAACCAGATCAGCACCAAACTGCGCCAGAGCTACGAGAATGACCTACAGGCGATGGCACCGCAGAGCCTCATGTTCCCCGGCCTTCATCCCATGGCAATGATGTCGACACCCGGCAATGGCATGGTCTTTAACACAAGCATGCCATTCCCATCGTGTCAGAGCTTTGCCATGTCCAAGACGCCGGCCAGCGTAGTTCCGCCGGTCTTCCCCAATGATCTGCAGGAGACGACATATCTCTATATACCGAACAATGCCGTTGGGGCGATCATCGGCACCAAGGGCTCCCATATACGTAGCATAATGAGATTCTCGAATGCATCCCTGAAGATTGCACCCCTCGATGCCGACAAGCCGCTGGACCAACAAACGGAACGTAAAGTAACGATTGTTGGTACACCGGAGGGTCAGTGGAAGGCGCAGTACATGATCTTTGAGAAGATGCGCGAAGAGGGTTTCATGTGCGGCACCGATGATGTTCGTCTAACGGTCGAACTGCTTGTGGCAAGCTCTCAGGTAATAAACCATACCGAAGTTTATCTCGAAGAGGGGCTATTTGTAAATGATAGGTATACGGATCGGTTTCGGGTTGTATTTGTTCATATATTGCCATGAAATACCCTTGTTTCCTTTAAACTAATGGATTTTCTTTTGCACACACACACAGGTCGGCCGTATTATCGGCAAAGGAGGTCAGAATGTGCGCGAACTGCAGCGCGTAACGGGCAGTGTCATCAAGCTGCCAGAGCATGCCCTGGCCCCGCCAGCAGGCGGTGATGAGGAGACGCCCGTTCACATCATTGGGCCATTCTACAGCGTACAGGTGAGTGGCTTGCCAAGAGAGAGAAGATTGTGAGAGATTGTGATCCATCCATGTATATCATTGCAGTCCGCCCAGCGTCGCATCCGGGCCATGATGTTGTCCACGAACCCGCCGCCAGTGACCAAGAAACAGAAAGCTGCCAAAGAACAACTGCAACAACAGCAACTGAGCTTAGCCGGTGCTGCGACCAGTGGATCCCAGCAGCTTCAGCAACAGCAGCAGGAACTTTCGCCGACGTTGCAGCAACAGCAACAGCAGCAGCCACTGCCGCCGCAATCGCACCATCAATCTGTGTCGGCGTCTTCGTCGTCATCGACGCCGCCTGCCCATCATCAGCAGCAACAGCAGCAGGCGTCGTCGGCAGCGACTTCGCACCAATTGCAGCAGCAACCGTCGCCGCCACTGAGCGCTAGCAATGAAACTCTGGCCACCTCCCAGCAGCAGCTGGCGAGCTCGCAGCAGTAAGAAGTAGTAAGCAGAAAAATCACTTGGAACGAGGAAGGAGAAGATGTAGCGCCGCAATAACCAGCAACAGCAACAGCAACAGCCACAACAGCAATCGGAGGCTGCAACCAGCAACCAGCAACCATCGATATCAGCAATAGCCAAGGCAGGGTTTTCTTTTATGTACTACTACTACTACCACAACTAATACTAATACTACTATCAATACTACCTCCTACCCTCGTCTCAAAAGCAGAAACTACAAACCATACCATACCATGCCCTATCCTACCACAACCACCTATAGGCGCCACCTTCGTGCTGGCACAGGCGACCAATCCGCAACAGGAAAACATATAAAGAAACAGAAACAGGTTGAAATCGTCATGTGAAAGAGGTTCTTCCTAGTTCATAACAGTGTATAACAGTTGCAGTTGTATAACAGACAACTAAAAACCATCCTAAACAAAACACAAGAAAATGTTTAATCAATGCATGCTACGAAATAAAGCGAATTTCTTGAATAGAAGGAAAACAATTATAAACCCACCCCACCCCACCCTCCCCCACTTTGTGCTGTGTGTCCCATGTATAACAGATAACTGTGGGATGTTTTTCCATCACCAACAACAACAACAACAACAGCAACGGCACAAAGTCCACAGTCAAAAAAATTCTACCACCCCCGCACCCCCTTCCCCAACATCCCCGCAGAATGAAGTGCATGAAGGAAAAGCAGAAATCAGAAGCAAAAGGAAAAGGAAAAGGAAAAATTGAGCATTGTATGCGTTAGATTTTTTTTAAATATATTTACTTATAAAAAGTTAATTCTTAATTTTTTTTTTAAACAAAACCTTTAGTAAGCTTAAATTTAAGTGAAAACAAGAATTGAAAGCCGATCAGCGGAAAGAGTATAAAGAAGGAGAGACAAGAGAACGAAATAGAAAAGAGCAGAAGCGAAAGGAAAAGGAAAAGAAAAGAAAAGTTTGTTTTGTTTGGACAACAATTATAACAGAGAAATTATTGTACACATGCAAAATTATAAACGAAATTGTAACCCAAAACAGAATAAACCGAAAGATTCAATGAACGATTGAACAGAACAGAACAGATAAGAACCGAACCGAACAGTACAGAAGAGAGATTCAAGCCGATTTACAACAAGAAAAACCAACAACACACAAGAAAAGAAAAGCCAGCCAGGAAACTGTAACAGCTACATGCAGCACAATGTCTAACAGTCGATGTAGGTGTTACGCCCAACAACAACAGTTGTACATAGTACATGTAACAGAGAGATACCTAAACACCAACCCAACCCTACCCTACCAAAAACAACCAAACCACCAATAACTAAGGAAAGAAACCCAACTATCTAATGTATACAATATAGTAAGTAGCTGAGTTAGTCTCGAGCTGCCATTGTAATGGATGGATGGAGAGGAAAGGAGAGGAGAGGAGAGGAGAGGAGTGGGCATTATGCGGGATTTGATTTCCTTTCCCGGTAATGCCCAGCGAGAGCAATGTTTAACTGTACTGTACAGCTGTAAAATAGTCTTGTCGATGCCTGGAAAAGATAGTTGTTTGTATTGATAGCTCTTTTTGTTTGTTTGTGTGTGTGGCAAGAAGTTACAAGAATTGTTGATTATACTTAGAGGAGGACAGAGGGAGACACGAGAAGAGCGCAAGAGCGCAAGAGCTAGAGCGAACGCGATAGCGAATGAAAAGAGTATAAGTGTTAAAGAAACTATTGTAATGTGTTTGCCTTGAAATGAAAACAAAAGAAAAAAATGATTACGAATACGAATACGAATACGAAATGAAACGAAAGTGAAAGTGAAAGAAACTAACTAGAAATGAAATAACGGTGCTGAAATGTTAATTTTTTTTAATCGAACGAAGAAAAGTTTATCGTTACGTTACGTTACATTAAGTGTTACGTTATAACGTTTGAGCGTGTATGAGAGAGACAAGCTGTTATACATGGATGGGACACCACACAGAAATATTGACATAGATAGACATAGCCACAATCCAAAATCCAAACTGAACCCCACATACAATCACAAGTAAATAAAACTGAAGAGTGCATTTAATATGGTCCAAACCATATGGCAGCAGTAGAGCAGTAGAACAGTAGAACAGTAGAACAGTAGCACAGTAGAGTGCAGTAGAGAACAGTATATGACAGAATCAAGCCATAGCTAAAGAAACCGCAATCCAAGTAACTGAATCCCGTGAGCAGCAAACAATCAAACTACAATCAACAATCAAGCCAAAATCATACATACATATACATACATATAGCATCAGCAATAGCCCAATTCTGTGATGTTTTAAGGCATCATCTATTACCTATTAACTAATAATTAACGTAAATCTTACAACTAGTAGCTAGTAGCTATTCCATAGAATTAATGTAACCAAACAAATCAAATCAAATCAAATTCAAACCACACCCGGAAGCCCCAGCCAGCCCAAACCCTTTTGTTTGTATAACACTTGCATCAGAGACAGACAGAGAGAGAGAGAGAGAGAGAGGGAGAGAGAACTGTTATATTCAGGCACCCAAAATAAATAAAAACTAAAAAGAAAAATCAACATTTCGGCAAACCAAAAACAAAACAAAAAACAAAAAACAACAAGCGCAAAAGAGCATAAAGAAAAAACATTTCGGTCAAAACAAGCAACAAGATGAAAACTTTCGAGTGGCAAAATTTTGTGGAAAAACGCAAACAATCAGACAAAGAAGAGAAGAACAACATTTTTGGACAAAATTCAGGAAGCATTTTAAGCCAGCAAGCAGCGTGTACAAGCTTAGGGGCAGCCCAATTTTTTGAAATATCAGATTTTCCTTGTTCTTTTTAAGAAGAAACAAAGGGAAGAAAACCACAAGAAGAACTTTGATGAAGAAGATTGAAAAAGTAATTAAAATACCTCAATGTAAGTGCATTATCTTCTACAAAAAGAAAAAACAAAGCAAAAAGAAACAAAAACAAAAACAAAAAAAAAACAAAAGAACGTTCATAATGAATAGATATCCTAAAAATGAGCTAAACACAGAAATGGAATAAAAATAAAAAAAGAGAAAATGAAACGAATTACGAGAAACCTAAACCTTAAAGTTAGTGTGTAAGCAAAAGATAAATATAACAAACGAAAACAAAATAAAAATAAAGATGAGAAGGAAAGAAAGGAAAGGAAATCCAGAAAGAAATACCAACCGGAAACAGAACCAGAACCAGAACAAGCAAACAAAAGAAAATGATTCAAACTTTGGAAAAGGCATATCATTTAAAACTAAAAGAAATCAAGCAAACCAATTTCGATCGTAAATCTTCTCAGACAAAAAGAATCTTTTAGGAAAGGTATCCCACTAGCTAAAGCCTAACCACAATCCAATCCAATCCAATCAAATCAAATCACACAGCAACCAATCAAACCAATCAATCAATCACTCACCCACCCACCAAAGCCCTATGCGACAAAAGATTTGTTTTGGGTCGAACTCCCCACCCAGATAATATACATATGTCAGACCAACTGAAACTGAAACAGAACCAGAAACTGAAACTGAAACTGAACCTGAAACAGAAGCAGAAGCAGATTCAACTGAGGAAATCGCGGGATAAGAGCAGGATAAGGAGAAGGAGGAGTTAGGAGTAGGAGTCTGAGGATAAACAGATGCAGATAGGAAGGATGGGAAGTGTATATAAGAATGTTGCTAGGCATTAACATTGATCTATATATACGGGAATCAAGCCACTATATATATATGCGATTATATATATGTATATGTTGAAAATGCGTGACATTTTGTTTTGTTATACTTGAGAATCTATAAATGTGTATCTATAGATATATTTATATTTATATATATACAAAATCTAATCATTTTTGTCCCTTTTTTATAAAAATAATTATTCTAATGGATTATTATAATTATAATTATATTTTTTTTATTTTTTTTCTATGGAAAAATGTCCAAAGTTGTCAATACAAAGACCTATACATATACATATATATAGATATATATAGACATGTGGAACTATGATTAAAAGAACGATATTTATAAAGAACGAAAGTGAGGAATTTTTCTAAAAGATTCCCCGGCTACAAAGAGGAGAATTCGAAGAAGAGAGGAAAGAACAAAGAAATGAAAACTATTATTCCAAATGCTGAATCAAAGAAAAGTCAGATCAGATCGAGGCGAGGCGAGGCGAGAGAGACGGAATCAAGGAGAGAAGGAAAGAGGATTTATTTAAGCTATAGCTCTGGTTTATTTCGATGGGGGTTAAAAATGAAATGATATGATATGATATGATACTATAATACGAGTATAAACAAAACAAGAAATAACGAAGAGAACGGATAACAAAAAAAAAAAACAAAAAACAAAAAACAAAAAAATGAAAACTTGTGAGTTAGCGTGCGCGTTGAAACGTTGAAAACGAAGACAAAGATAACGATAGGGATAAAGATAACGATATGGATATGGACGAAGGACGAAAGAGTTGTAATTTGGGGAATGTCGAGAACGGAAAGTGAACAGCAGAAACGAAATTATTTTTTAGTATTTAGAGGCTATTTTATATCGTTATTAAAGCATGAAGTGAGAAGGAAGGTGAGCAACGGTTAGAAAGGAAACGAAAACGAACATACATAAAAGCGGCAAATGTGAGGATGTTTGGCAAGAGCAAAACTGGATTTCAACCCAAGGGGAATGCAAAAACTGAGCAAAAATCGGAACAGAGAACTACCTTGGCATGTGTCTGTACTTCTTCGACAATCCTGGCCGTTGGCCTGGACACCGAGTCGACGGACAGTGTACCATTGTCAGTCGTTTACCATTCACGATACCCTTGCACACACACACACACACACACACACACACACATGCCGCTCGTTTTTTGTGCAGTTTTCCCCCCTTCGGAAAATGTTCGAAAAGTTGAAATTCAGTTGAGTTTTTGGGCAAGCTAAAATAATAGAAAGAAGAAGAAAGGAAAAAAAGTGAAAAATGA